ACACTTGTTCTGTTCCTGCTTTCCATTTGTAAAGAGAAACAATACATACTCAATGCAAGTCTACCAAGCATATTGATATGGCAGCTGCTAAAACATGAGAAATGTTTTTAGAAACAAGATTTTAAATCTTATATTTAATCATGACTTATTTACCACAGAATAAAAGAAAAAGAGTGAATGACTTAGCAAAAATAAGCAAACACTATCCATAAGATTAGCTGCTTTCAATGTGTTGAATGGGAATGAAATGGAAATTCAGTTGGAAAGATACTATGTGATACTGTAATTGTAGACTATTGTCTACAATACACACAAAGACGCAAGCTGTTAAGAACTGTTAAAAGAGGCTATGAAGAAAAGAAGTTACATATCCTTAGGAGAATACCATAGCCAGAAGCTAGCAAGGCAATGGATGGTTGAGAACCTTGGCAAAGCAGACCTGTTTTCTGTAGATGACTTTAAGTTCAGTCCCCTTGCTAGTTGCAGGACATACATTTGTGAACTATAAAAAAAAACTGTAAATTTAATCTGTAAATTTAATCAAATTTGATCTGTAAAAAATAGAAAAAAAAAGGAAAAGTATGAATCTTGGACCTCCATCAAACATACATTTATTCTGTTGATATATAAGCAAAATCTTCACCAAAAAAATAGATTTAAGACTGACATTTCCCTGCATTTTAAAAATGGTGAGAAGTAGAAGAGAAAAAAATCATTAATTAATGCCTCTAGTACAAAATTAGAAAGCAATAAAATTAAATAATTCTAATAAAGATTTTGAAAAATCTAGACTTCTAGGTAAAGAATAGATATTTTATTACATTCCATTTCAACAAAAAATATTTATATAACAAAATCAAGATTAAAGAAGCTATGTTTGAATAACATTACACTTTTTCATGCATGATGATAAAAAGCCAGGAAATTCAAAGTCAAGTTTGACATTCCAACCTTAATGCATGCCCTGCTCTAAATCCCTCCCACCCCTAAGGTTATGATTAAGGAAAAAAGTATCATTCATAAAACCTTGCAAACATGATAAATCCCATCCCACCCTAACCACAGCTGTTCATTTCATTTGTCTATGATTTACCCAAGATTACAGTTTCAAGCTTTTTCTTCGTCATTTCTTTGGTCCCGTATGGGGAAATATCAACAGTTGCTTCTTTAAACTCTTCAAATGGTGTGTAATACCACTGTAAATAAAAATGAATTGCACTTTACTGGCAGAACATACCTAGTTTTATTAGGTTTTGCCCAAAATATTGATTTTGCCTAATGATTTCCTGTGTCAGGGAATAATGATGTTGCTGAATGTCACATTTTTGTCTGAGAGACCCAAGTTGTGAAACTTGATCTTTGTAAGTAGGTGCTTGTATTCAAATTGGAGTCCTGTTAATGGCAGGCTTGACAGAGGAATGCATTAATACAGTCAGATGCAAGTAGGATCAGTGCCTGAAATTACTGATAGGATCAGACTGTAAAGCTTTGGCTCACTGAATTTATTCTGGTTTTCAGCATAGATGTAATCCCACTGCTGAACTAGTAAGCTGGACTTCACCTGCTTTGTGAGGAGAGATTTCATACATATATCATCAGCCAGGAATAAAGTCAATTCTTAAACTGTCTATGCAGGTAAACTATTTAGAAAAAAAAAAATTGCAGAGAATTCTTACAGACTCAAACTCTGGTCACTGCACCAAATACATCCAGTTGTGTTCGCCTACATACTCTGGATATAAATCTTACCAGATTTCTTTTAGTTTTATTCATACATTGCTAATTCTAGAGCTCAGGCTCATCCTAGAGAGCTGAAAATGGTATCTCCAGGCCTCCCAGAGTCCACCAGGAGAGACAGACTTGAAGTGGACCATGATGTTTACTCCAGGTGCTCCAATCTCTGCAGGAATCAGAACATCTCCATGATGACTTGTTACTTGGGTAAGATCCAGCATTTAGGTGATATGAACCCATTTCTAGTACCCATATTATTTTCCTTAACTGATGGAGTCAACCAATTCTTTCCACAAATGAGATCTGGGGAAGTCAGGCTGAGGTAACTTTGTTCTCACCTCACTACAGACTCTTCACCTGTCTGTGGTGTACCAAAGGCTTTCCCAGCAGTTTCAGCCAGCAAGGCACTGATTCCTCTGGTCTGTATTAGCTTTGACCTTGACTTCATCAGCCTCCTCCTTTCTGGTTTTGTTGTAAGGCACTCAAAAAAGTACTGACCATTTTCATTCATTTTATACATTTTGTTAGGCTTCCCTCAGCTTCACTCAGACGTAAAATCTTCCAACATAAATTCTATCACAGTGCAGTGTTCTCTGCCTATTTAATCTCATAATGCATTGGGACATTTGAGGACTCTGTGACTCTTCCAGTGATAACACATTTAATCACATTTGCTGTGCTTTCATTTGAATGCTGTGGCATTATTCTAGCACCAAAATAACCAGTATTCAACTAGCTTTGTGTAAATATTTCCTTTTTTGTATTAATTCATCAGTAGTGTCCATAGTGCCTTCCTCTTCAATACTGATTGATCAAGGGTCAAGATGAGATATTGTCCAAACTCTCTCTATTCCTTTGTGAGCTGGCCCCATCTTCACATATATATTCTGTACTGATCCTGTCTGGCCTGTCAGGAATGCAAACTGTGAGTCCAACAGGACAGAAACTGTCCTATGTTTTGAGGTAGTAAGGTCCTGATCCATGGACATTACTTTAATTTGAAGTTTAATGAGAGGGTCCTGAGCTGTAATGTCAATAATTTGAAAGATATTGCATTAGTGTCCCACAGACTCCATCTACTTCTGTTATAGATGCTGAAAATGACAGCAACTGTCACACTATTAATGGATCAGCTAAAGAAGAGAAGATTTTTTTTCCATTCTACAAAGAAAAGTGTAGACATTTTTTCAGTTGCATATCTAACTTTTTGTGGTTTCCAAAGCAGCCAGTGCCTTCTCAGGTCCTTGTTAATGAGTCATGTCTGATGGAGAGTATCTATATATTTCTGCATCTCAGGGTCACTGTTGACTTCCAGTGAATTTTCCAGTAAAGTACAGATCAGTCTTAAAATATATAGCATCTCAATCAATAATTCCAAATTATCAGAGTGGTTGTGTTTTCCTGTGTGATACTGTAGACAATTATCAGCACAGGCACACAGCACACAAGGTGACAGAAGGGCTGGGCAGAAAAGGATATATATATATAGCTTTCTGATAGGGCTAATAGATCAGAAAAGTTGTGGTTTGAGTTTTAAACACAAACCCTACATGAGCATCAAGCATAATTTTATAGATATTTCTGAAGAATAATTTTGGAAATAGCTGCACAGTGGTTTGAAATTGTAGCCATCAGTTCTTAGCATCTTTAAGCACCTTGTGAGCAAATTTTTAATTGATAAGCAAGTGAAATGAAAAGCTAGAATAGGAGAGGGCTGAAGGAAGGTAGGAGTCAAAAAGCAAATTACATTCATATTTGAAACAATTCTAGAACACACTTTGGATCACCTAATCTGGTCTGAGACAATTCTGGTGTTACAAAGCAGCCTCTTAAGAGAATTCATTCTGCTTCTCTGACATTTTTATTTTGTCTAGGTACTGAAAATCTGTGTCTTGCAGCACTGGTTATTCTTTATACATTGCCTCAGCTTCATACTTTCCCCGAAGTTGAGGTGAAAAAAATTACTAAATAAAAAAGTGACACATATTCATGGAACCACATTTCATTCAGTTTATTCTATATAATCTAAAATATTTAATATCAGAGAAAAATCAATATTTTGGCAAAACATAAGGGGGAATAGAAAATACACAAAGAAGAAAAGAATCTGCTTTACAAGAAGATTAACCTTGGTAACAAGTCTTCATTTTCTGCTAGGACCTACCAGTCCTATCATAGTTTGGTCTTTACTGCTTCTTTAAGAAGCATTGATATTTTTATGGCTTATGTTATATTGCTTTGTGATGCACTATTAGCTAGAAAAGCTTGTCCCTTTATGTTCTTGCAATATAAACCTCTTCCAGCTCTGGTTGTCTTTGTAGCTTGTGTCCTGCAAAAATCTTTAACTAGAGAGGTGAGCAAGAGCTTCTCTCTGAAGATAGCCTGGTGAAGGGCAGGTCTGTCCTCTACTAAATGCCAGTTTCCTATAGAACAGTAAATTCATATGAATTTTGACATAGAGGTGATGAATTAATATTTTTCCATTATTTTATTTCGCTGTCTGAAGCAGTTGTCTTTCCGTGATAATATTGAGTTCTGTAGAGACATATCTTTCATGACATTTGTCCTTAACTTTTACCTCTGTGTCTGTAAATAAAATACTTGCCACCTCAACTAAAAGGAGCCCCAATAAGTCAGGATCCTTTGTGGGTCAGTCATATATATATATATGTGTATATATATATATATATATACACATATGTGTATATATATATATATATATACACATATGTGTATATATATATATATATATATGTCATATATATATAATCTTTCTTCCACCAAGTGTTTTTATATAGCATTTAACATTTACATCTTTTCAACTTATTTTTGGGTGCTCTCTAAGCAACACCTCTCAACAGAAGTTTTACAGGTCCTCCATGCCTCATTGCTTCATTCACCAGGTGTTCTGTTGCCCCATATTCGTTACAAATAAATAAGTCTTTGAGCAGCTCTCTCCTTGCCCGCTAAGAAACCTCTCAGCCCTAGTGAGATGAAGGCAATCCCGCTGCTCTTCGCTATTTATTTATACATCCCATCCCATCCCATCCCATCCCATCCCATCCCATCCCATCCCATCCCATCCCATCCCATCCCATCCCATCCCATATATATATATATATGGGATGGGATGGGGACAGGTTGGTTGTCGGCCCGAAGGAGGGGATGGTGGCGGTGTCCCCCTCCGGTCCCTGCGGCGCTGACCCCGCGGCCCCTGTGCGGAGCTGTCCAGCGTACCCTGGCGGGATCCCGCGCACCTTCCGCAGCCCGCCCGTCGGGCAAGGGGGCACGGGGAGAGACTTCCCGCTGCCCCTTTCCCAGGAAAGGGAGTGCGTGATTCCCTCGCTGAGTTGTCAATGACGGAAAATCCCGGTACGCGGCGGGAAATGTTTGCTGTCCTGTAGGCAAACAGGAAGTATTTTCGAGGAGAGAGATCCTTCGGCAGCCCCCATCCACCTCCTTTGATCTCATCGGTTTTGAAATCGCCTTAGAAATTAGAGACTAATTAGCCTCAAAGCGAGAGTGACAACAATGCATGACAAAGGAGAAGATTAGCTTTTAAGAAGGCAGCTCAGGAGTGATGGGCAGTCACTCCGGAGAGAGCTGCGTGTACAAATCGTGTGCCAAAGAAAATCGATCGGATTCGACCTCGGTGTATCTGACGCTGCCAGGGATTGCCAGGGCCGGGCTGTTTATATAGGGAGAATCTCTAGTACGGGAGGGTGAAGACAGAGCCTCTCTTCCAGTCTCCCAAGACAAAAGCAAAACAATCCACAGCGTCTGTCCTCAAGGAAACCTTGATCAAAGAAAGGTATTGAGCGGTGTCGGGTGTGTGGGTGGGTATGTTCATGTGCATTTCACGGTATTTTGCAGCATGTATCCTGCGTTATCAGTGCGTGCGCTCAAGCTGATTCCTCTGTGCTCTGCCGGTGACCGGGACGGCTCTACCGAAGGTGTAATCGCTGCAGGACAGCTTATCGTCCTCTCATTGGCAGCAGGAAGAAGTTTCAAACAAGTGCTATGAGATTGCCTGAACCCAAATGAGATTTACGAAGCAGCCTTTTACTGGAAAGATATTTGAACTCTGATTGAAGGGGATTTAGGGGGAATGAAGAGACGATTCCAACAGTTACTACTGGGAATGCAATATCGGGTCCCCTACAATGCTTACTTAGGCTAATGGAGGTCCTGTCATTCAGTTCCCACTGCGCTGGGATACAGGGTAAACATTCCCCGGTGACCCTCTGCGTGCAGGTCCCCTCTTCAGGACATCATTAAAAGCATACATGCAGTTGCCTGACATCAATTGTCAGGCTGGCTCCCAGGGTTCAGAGATCCCGACAGAAAGCAGGAAAACAAGCCCAGTGGAGACCAGGCTCTGCTCCTGGGGGCTTTAAGGAGGCTGAAAATCGTTTTGTTGCGGGTGTGTAAGAAGAGACAAAAGTGCTCAGCAGGTAAGAGCGGAGGGTTTTGCCAAGAAGGAACTGTCCTTGATCGCTGTGACAGGATTGACTCGCTGGGGACTCCTCTCTCGGGAGCATCCACGCGTCCCCGAGGGGATTGCCTGTCTCCTCTCATCAGCATCACGGCGAGAAGTTTTACAGCCGCTCTTTCTAGTCCTGCTAATCCTGTTATCCGGGGGGTTATAAATATTAACGTCGCTGGGGCTGGGGATGGGGGACCCAAATAAGCCCTCTCTGAAGTAAGATGTCAGCCAGCCTTTTCCCAGCCCGCCAGGGCCCGGCGCTGCTGCATGAGCTGCACGGCAGAGCCCCGCAAGCGCCCTGCCCGGAGGGGCTGCTGGGCACCTCGGTGCTGGATTTCGTGGCCGACCTGTCCCTGGGCAGCCCCCAGGGAGCCTCCCGGGCTGGGGCGGGCCTGGGGCTCTGCGAGGTTACCACCGGGCCTCCCTTCGGGGACACAGTCCTGTCGCTTCGGGAAGGGATGGCCCGAGGTTTGCCCCTGGCTGCTTTCGGAAATGGGGATCCCGAATACGAAGAAGAAGAGGAAGAGGAAAGGATGCGCAGCGCTTCCCTCCTGGACAGACCTAGGAGAAAACGGGTCATCACCTACGCCCAGCGCCAGGCTGCCAACATACGCGAGAGGAAGAGGATGTTCAACCTCAACGAGGCTTTTGATCAGCTCAGGAAGAAGGTGCCCACCTTCGCCTACGAGAAGAGGCTCTCTCGGATAGAGACCTTGCGCCTGGCCATAGTGTATATCTCCTTCATGACTGAGCTCCTGGAAGGATGCAGCAGGCAGGAGGCGAGCTAGGGAGCGCCGAGGCCAGGCGGGATGTGGCTGGGGCCGGGCATCAGCAGCGAGCAGGTGCCTCCCTCCTGGGGAAACAGATCTGTGGCTCTTGCCTCGGCTTCTCACACCGCAGCCGGGACCCTGCAGGTGTGGGATGCAAACCAGGAGTGTTTGGAGAAGCGTGCGCTGAGGTCGGGAGGCGTTGTGGAGAAGATGGATGGAGAGGCTCAGTGTGTTGCAGACTTTTTAATATTTATATTTTTTGTAAACGGAACTGGTTGGGGGTGGGGAATGAAGGGTCGAGGCTCCTTGGTTTGTGCTATGTTGCCTGCTTGCTTTAATATCTTTCCAATTTGTTGCTGTGGAGAAAGACTGGGCCGGGGCGGTAGAGCCATTCCAAAGTGCAGAACGGGTCTCCAGCGGGTTCGGTTCCTGCCCAGCTGCCTGCCAGGGAAATCTCGGCCTGCGCATTTTAACCCAGCGCTTTCTGCCTTTTAAAAAATAAACTCCCTTTTCTTTGAAATCCAGTCTGCCAAGTCCACGCCGCGTGTGACGGGGCCAGGGAAAGCGAACATCTGGATACAACCTCTTGTTGTCACGATTTTCTTCCCGGGAACGGCTCTGTCCTTGCGTGCGGGCGGCCAGCACTGTCGCTGGCACCGGGCGGGAGCTGGCGCAGGAGAACCCGGCACGGCACGGCACGGCACGGCACGGCGGGGTGAGGTGCGGCTGTCCGGGATGCTCCGCAGCCTTCCCGGCACTGGCGGGGCAGCCTGGGAAGCCGTCTGCGCCCTCCTGAGAGAGAAAACTTGTGAGTTTGTGGGCTTTGGTTTTGGGGACGTTAAGCGGAGACGTTCTCTCTCCCACGGCGCATTCCCTTACAAACGCACGCACACACACACACACACGCACGCCACGTTTCATCTTTGCAAGGAATAAAAGTTGTGAAATACATTCTGAAAAGCCGGAGCGGGAGGAAAGGGGAAAGCCCGAGTCGGGCATAGCCCGGGACAGGGATGGGGTCCACCCCGGGGGTCTCTGTCTAGCGTTCCCTACTGATACCTTCGCATGCATCTCTAGAAAGCGGCGAGCGGCCGGGACAGCGGCAGCGGCGGGAGGCGGCCGTGACCGGGCTGGGAGCGGGCCCGGGGTCTCTCCCAGGAGCCCCTCCGACCCATCTTGCTGTGCTCTGCCCTCCCTCCCAGCTCCCCTCCCCAGTTCCCTCTGCTGCTCGCCCTTCCTTGGCTGCTGCTGGGAAGGACCGGGATTTCTGCCCGCTTTCCCAGCGGGCGGGCAGCAGCCAGCCCGCTCAGAGCCGCTCCTCTCGCATGGAACTGCCCGTTCAGGGCCGCGGGTCTGCGTGGCTTCACAGGACAGCTTTGGTCTCCATTATATAAAATTACAGTAATATCAGTAAAATCAAGATTTACCCTGGATTCAGGCTAGTAATCCTAGGATACTATGACTCTTATTTCTTCTCACGTGTTTTGTCAGCTCTGCTTCTGAGCTGATTCTTCAGGTGTGATTCTTCTTCTTTTTCTCGTTCTGTTCACTTTAATGTTGTCATGAGAGATCTTATATCCTGTATTAATACTCTAATATTCTTTCTCTTTTCACTTGTTTCCCTGGTTTCTTTTTCTACTTGTTTTTGTTGACCTCTCTGACTCCACACATTGCATCTGCTCTCCATTTGTCAAAATGCTTTTTTTTCCAAGAGGCAGTTGGATAGTTAGCGCAGCTGGATCCTTTCTAGGAACTGGGGGGGTTCACCTCCTCAGAGGGTTTTGTGTTGTTTTGGGGTTTGTTTTTCTTCTTTTTTTTTTTTTCCTAAAAATAAAACGAAAGAAGGAACTACGTATGAACAATGTTCCAAAATCAACAATAGTTCACATAACCCAATCTCACTTTAGTTACCATCATCTCAGGCAAAATGATGAAAACACATTCTTTAAGGACAATGAGATACGCAATTTAATATTCACTTCTTACCACCATTTCTCTATGATCTGTCACAGTATGATTATATAACTTTTCACAATATTTCTTGCTCATATCATTGTATAAAATTAGAACTCTATAGCACATAGAGTCTTAAGTTAGGAGATTCATAATGTAAACATGTCTGTAACATAATTCAAAAATTATTGGTTTTCATTTCTTGGTTTAATAACAAAACACTGGAATTTGTTCAAGATCCAAGTTTGAGGTTCTTTTCGTACTTGTGTTAGAGACTAGAGAAAAGCAGAAAGGATATGATACATTTTATTTTTAAATACAAATGGATCTGGCATTATGAATTCTGATTTCTAAAGGATCACTGGAAATTTTGTAGCAATATGAACAGTAGTAACATTCTTATATGAGCCACTGATGCTAAAAACATTAGAAATTAAAAATGAAGTTGTGGTATAAGCCAATGAACACAATATGTAAACATCACAGAAAAAAAAACAAGATGTGTTTTGAGCAGCCCCTGAGCCACACATTGATTTATATGACCTTAGAACCTCATGAAATGGGCTTTTTTGTTTGGTTGTTTGTTTTGTGCTTTTCCAAAACTGATGAAAATTTACTAAAAAAGCAGTCTAAATGCAATTTTTTCAAAGGAACTGTTGAAACTAAAGTGTGTCCTTACACCCCTGAAGAGCTCAGTGAAACAGCAAGATGCCGTACTGATCCATCCCTCAGCCCTCGGTGGATGTGTTGAAAGTTTAGTTGGAAGCTGGAAAGTTGGAAGTTTAGTCTGGTAAGAATATAAACCAATTATGGGAACATTGCAGACAAGCTTCTTGCTGGAGTGCAATCCCATCTCGCTGAAATAACAAAACTCTGGGGTCCTTCCCGCCCCAATCATTGTCTCAGTCCAAGATAGCTGCATTCTAATCTGTGGAGCCGGTAGGGTACTGCAGCCTGTCAGGCTTGGGAGGACAGTGAAACCCCAGCAGGGACAGAGTGCAGGATGCTGCTAGCTCCAGCGAGGTTTGGATTTCACCCACTGCAGGGAAGAGCCTTCCTCCCCTCGCTCAGCATCCCGCTGCCACCAAGGCTGAGCCCAGCTCCTCGTCTCCCCAAAGCGCAGTGCCATTATCACCGCATTAACAACAAAAACCGACAGTGTCAATTACTTCTGGGAAAAGATAATAAGGGGCTTTTTAAAGCCTTAGGGCTGTTTGATCACAGCCCATTTTTAGACCCTGGTCTGAGGCTGGTTTGTTTATGTTCTCTTTGGCCACTGAAGACCGACTTTTTGTAGAAATTCGAGTTCCCTTGAAGCTATCATGTTACAATTAGTATTCAGACATGTAAACCAAAAAAATAAGACTAAATGAAATCATATTTGAGAGACATTTCATAGCTTTCGAAGAGAAGTATAAATAATCAAATGATTTTGCAATCTCTAGTTAGATTGATCTTGTTTTACAGCTGCTGAACCTGAAAGGATGTTTAAGCAAACTAGTGCTGGAAACAGAACAAAATATTATGATAGCACTGCAAACTTTTGAATCCACTCTCTGATCAGCTACTATGGCCCCATGATTGGTGTTTATTATCACATTTGTCAGCATTTCATTATAAATACTCAAGTGTGGAGGGTTTATAACTCAGCTATAAAAATTCCCTCTAGGATGAAACTTGATAAGTGAAGTCTCAGTCCAACAATACTTTTTTTTTTCTTTTACAAACTTTAAAATAAATTAGTTTTTGAAGTCATGGAGGTACTAAGCAAAAGTAATGGAAAAGTGGCTTTGATTTCTTTTTCAGATTGGTGATTCTTCTCAGAAAGAATTTCTAGATTACCCTACTGGTCCTTTCAATTAACTTGATCTTCCGGTTTTTGGTGGGTTTCTTTTTTTCTTTTTTTTTAAATTAAAAATACCTAATATGCTGAAGCTTAAAATGTGACTGTTGTGCATGCTGAGTCCCTGTTTTCACTTTTTCAGTGAATAATTTTCACAGGAATCTGTTGTTTTACTAGGCATGAATGCTACCAATCTGCAACAATGACATCCAAGCTTTTCCTAGAAATACAAGAGAATAGTTACAAGGATTAATAGATGTGCTGGTTATGCTCTTTTTGTAATACAGTAAATTAGTGCTTTTCCTAAAAACTTGCTAAATAGAATCAGTTCAGATGATTTGCTCTTCAACTGTGCTCAAAAAAATGCTTGTTGTCAGATAGTGAGATGAACACTTGACACTGCAATATATCCAGAATAAAATAATCGACAGAATAAAAATATTTAATTGCAATTGCCTAGAATTTTAGCTTTTCAAGAAGTGTTGCTCAGAAATTATGTTTTAAATTGTGTTTCATCCAAATTTTGCTTTTCCCCTTCTCTTTCCTAGTTTCAGTGATGACCTTTTTTTCTGGTTGGCACCGAAGTTTAAGCCTTTGAATTATTCACAGTTACTACTGACTCTGCTGATCACCAGCTGCACTCCAGTTCAGTGGTCCTTACATATCTGAAATTCCTATTTCTTCGAAAAAGTCAAAATAAAGGAGTAATTCTGTTACCTTTATTTTGTAGTACAGCTTTCCACATTAATATATACTTACAAGGGCTGCAACATATTCAAATTGTTGTGTGCATTATTTTATCTTAGTGTGGCTTTTATTGTTTCCAAAGGCTTCAGTGTCACAGTGGTGACACAGACCGTGTCCTCCCATGCTGAGGGGTTTTGAATGGTTCCCACACAAAGGTGTTGCACTGCAGAAGGACAGGTATCACTTTTGTCACACATGGCTTTATTTCAAACAAATAATCAGGCACACTGGGATTCTAGGCCTGTTCATATTTTTGTCATAATTCTGCCATAATTTCAGAAGGAGAGGTAAAGAGTATCCTTTTGGTTTAACTACCTCTCCTTAGCTCTGAAAGAAGAAAAAAGATAATAATTGTCCCTGTGAGTTCCAGTTCCATCTTCTCTTGCTCCAAGCCTTACAGGGGAACAAGGACAAGAAGTACCTTTTATGATTTTTCTGCACAGCAAAGAGGAAATCTGTGAATGGAAAGTCTTCAACATAAACAGATGCACTGAGTG